ATACTTTTGGACATAATTGTTGTCTCAGTCTACCAAAAATAATCTTGCATACCTACCATCAGATCTCTGTTACAGTCACAGTTTTGTATTTTTTTTTCTTTTTAAATGGGGTTAGGGTTAGCTTTAAACCATCTCTTTAACTGACGGAAGGATTCTTGGATTTTCTTTTTCTAAATAATCTTTGATTAGTCAAGCCTTCCTTACAGAGGATGTTTATAAGACAATAATGAATAACTGAAACTCAAGCCAGGCTCCTGCATCATCCCACAGAGCACTTTATTCATCTTTATACAGTAGGTGAGCAGGAACAGGCTGTTAAGTGGGAGTTTTAATCAAATTAAGAACAGGGAACACATGTCCACACCGACTGTAATCTTGTAATCTCATCACCAGTCTGTCAGTGGAGACTCAGTGGGCTACAGGAGCTGACTGCAGTAAACAGATCACCATGTGACTGTCTAGGTTAATGACTAACAGATGAATAGAAAGAATGTTTAATCACGTCACTCTGTTTCATCATTTAGCATGTTGTGAAATAGAAGAAGGCCATGTCATGTGCACATATGCACTCTGCCTCAAAGCTTTAGCTCCCCTGTGAGATAAACAGGTAGAAGGTGTCACATTGTTGCCTTGCACTAAATGCTTTCACTTCATGTTCATGTCAGCAGATCTGTTAACCCTGGTGTAGCTATGTGTAAGAAAAAAGGTGATGATGCAGACAACAATATGTTATCCTCTATTTGTTGGTAGGCTTATGTAAATGCTATTCTTGCATAAATTTATGTAAACCTGGGAAGCCTTTAACCAAGCAGTGTAAATGATGTGTGCTATTCAGTCTGTATTCTTTATTCATCTTGAAAACACACTGTGTGGGCACAAAAAAAAGTGTTTTTGTTTTCCTGTTAGACTTTTCCCAAATGTCTAACAGGAAGACAAGCAAAGAGAGAGGGCTAATTTGGAGCTTTACACAAAGCGACAAAGCCAAATGGGATCCTGTCCTTTGAACAAAGTGACAGGCTACAACCTAATTATGACAACCCACAGTCTGAACAAGGTTCCCAAATTCCTCACTGTGCCACTAATGAAACACGGCACAGTCGCAGAGAGCTGCCAAGGAGGACATGTTTGAACCCAACTTTGGAAACATTGTTTGGCACTTCTTATGTGTCCCTGCAGTATTTTCGATTATTTATTCAATTCAATGCTTTGAAAGCTTAACTTTTTTAAACAATCTTCTTTAATCTCATTATCTCAATAAGATTGTTTGCATGACTTGTCTTGATTACATCTCTGACTGTCAGTGGAGTTTTATTCAAAGGCTTGTGCCATGTAGCAGCAATATTCAGTGACCCTACAATCACTCTGGTACTTTGGTATACACAGGATTTCAAGGCGAATTCAATGGCAACAAGGATCTGAGGTCCTGTGCCTGCAAAAGAAGCCCAAACCGTCACCCCTCCACCATCATGTTTGACAGCTGATGTGAGGTGTTAATGATATGCTCTCTGTTTAGTTTTAACCAACCATGGTGCTGTGCATTGTTACCACACATCTCTACTTTGGTTTCATCTGTTCAAAGGACATTACCCCCAAAGTCTTGTGCTTTGTTCAGCTGCAGCTTTATAATCATAAGCTGTGCTACAATGTTCCAAGGCCTTTTCCTTGCAACATTTAATATGCAGTCTGTGGGCTGTAGAGTCTGAGCATTGCACAGTTTGATCTTGAATGTTTTGCACTTGTGAAAAATGTTTCTAACCATAGAACGATGGAATTCTAATTGTTTGTGGAAATACATTTCACTTCCCAGAATCGATAGGCAGCAACAGTTGCGTCTTTCAGATTATTGCTGGTGGTTTTCCTCCTTGGCATTGTGTCTAAATTACACTTTAAGGAGCCATTTGATCAGTTTTTTCTAGGTAAGAATTTTTTCTTTTAAGTTAGCCAAAATTAAATGTAATTATAATAGGATATTAAGTTATAAATATACTAGCTTGCCAGCAATATTAAAAACCACAACTTCCCAGATCTGTTTTCTCATGCAAATATATTTTCATCTGGATGGGAATGGCTTCAAAATGGTACATGTTTTTTTGACTGCTCTCATTTTGATGTGTAAAAGCTGACCTGGTCAGTGAGGGTTGGATCTGACTGTAGCCTGTATGCTCATGTGGTAGTGGCTAGCCTGCCCTGAAACCATACTGTGCTTTGTACTCCTTTGTCCTTTGTACTCATTTTTCACAAATTGTTATTTGTCTGTACTTATAAATATGTATAAACTCTGTTGAATCTAACATTATTCTAGTTCTGTTATGAAATGTTATGAGCTTGTTTATTTACATTTGCATTTACATTGCATATTAGCTATTTTGCAGCTGAGCTATAAATATTTCAAGTCGTGCTGGTTTGACTCAGCGGCATTCTGTCAAGACAAGCAAGGCAAGCAGTGCTTGCCTGGTCAAATCTAAAACTTAATATTGATTAAAACTTACCAAAGAGAAATCTATCTTTTTTCTCAACCAGCATTGTGACATAAAGCCTGTTTTCACCAATGTTGCTGCTGTCTTATGCTCACAACTGACTGTTGTTGCTGTAAGCTCTGCTTGCCTCAGATCCTATTAGAAACTGTAGCATAGCTCCATTTCATGTGGACTGAAATACACACAAACAAATTGATTTGCTACAATAACAGCAACATTTATGTCCCTTTCCGTTAACAATGGCCGGAGCTTATCAAGCTGAGAGGCCAGCAACGTGTCCTTGTTGTCTGCGCCTGCACATTGTGGATAAACCTCCAGTCTTTGACAAGGAAAGTGACAGGATACCAGCATGTGAGGCAAGCTGCTGCTGCTGGTTCTGTTTTCTTTGCTCTGAGATGATTTATTAACTGTACTTGGGGCTAGCTTTACTAAGGTGTTCCTCCATTGCAAAATGGGTTTTGGAGTAAAACAAGTACTGACAGTATTTACACATAGAGCACAGCAGAAAGATTGCACGTAAGAGATCGAAACTCAGAGAATTTTGTGATCCTGTTGAAAATTTCTGGGAGTTTGTTCCTCAAGGGACAAAATATAGGGAGAAGAATATTTACATCAAGTGTGCAAACCGGTTTAACAACATCTGCGACCTTGTGACTTAACAGCAAAAACAAAAAAGGCATAATTTTTGTATTGTTTTGCATTTCCTCTAGGACTTTCAAAGTAGAATCTCTGAGAAACCACTTGGTTGACCAAATGTAAGTTTAACCAGCTGTTTTCGCAACACACCAGTTTAATCTTTGATGAATGTTTTTCATACTACATACTACATTGACAGAATGCTACACTGTGTTGAAGCCTTGTAACTCAGATGTTTTTTTCTCAATACATTTCAATACGCTTCTTTTTAAATCAAGCCATAAGCTTATTTTTTTTTATCAGAAGTATGTGGTCCTCACAAGAATATGATCAAGTACTGTATGTTAAATAGAGTATGTTTGAAATGAGCTCCCCCTTAAACAACAGTAATGTTAATCAATACATCACCGATTGGGAACATTTTTCTGCAAAAATAATTATTTTTAGTTTTGATCATTGATTTACAGTAATAAAGTTTTATGTGTGTTGAAGTGTTCTCATAGTGTTTCATTGTTTCTTTTGCTAAATGATTGGTTCTCGCTTCCTCCACAAGCTAATAGCCAGCTTATATGAAATAATTAGTTGCAATATAGTAGACAGTTATTTAACTATCCCAGTAATAACATTTCACAATTCTTCAGCCAGGAATGAATGCATGGTCTCTGCTTCCATTTATGTAAAAGTCACTGCACATTTTGACCAGCTACTCTACTTTTAAAGAGAGTGTGAATTGTTGTAAGTCTCTCTGTATCAGATTGGCAACCTGTCCAGGGTGTACCCTGCCCCTCTCCCTGTGGTAGCTGGTTAAGGCTCCAGCCCCTGTCCCAGTGACCCTGATAAGGATAAGTGGAAGAGGATGGATGGATAGTCGACTCTTAATTTTATTAACAGAAGACAAACGTGACATTACAAATACAATAAATTTCCACATACTAAAAAGTAACTTAACCTGATTGTTAAAATGTGTTTAGAGCAGCCATCAGCTGTGTTCTCATTGTGAAGTGAAACTCCCTGCATGCTACACTGAGCTCAAAGGTGTGTCCACTTCTGCTCATAGTGACTGTGAGGAGTGACTCTTTTTCATTTCCCAAATGGAGTCCACCTGTCTGTTCACTCAGCTATGATTATGCAACTTTCATGCCACATAAAACTTAATTATAATGGTGGCTGTATTTCCTGTTGTGAAGGTGACAGCTTACACTCCATACTGTGACTACGCTCGTTTCACAAGGGCTCCATTTTATTCCAACAACAAAGGAGAGCAAACTTTCCATAATGTAGGCGTTACATAATCGAACCTCAATGTAATTACACAGTCTGTCCACCAGGTGTCATAAATCTACAAGAAAAACACACAGGGGTGTACAGGTCTGCACGTGAGCACGCACATGTCTGAAAAACCTAATCTCCGCTCCGTCTTCACCAAATTATCAGCAATCTATAAATATTTACCTTTTATATAGCGAGACAACAATCTGAACGTGAACAAATCTGCACATTACAAGCAGCAAAAGCACATTTTAACTTATGTGGCCAATAGAATTGAAGCCAAATTAAAAACGTGTAACCACTGCCGAAAAAGATAGAAACAAAGTCATAGAGCATTTGTTATGTTTTATTTTTTTGCAGCCAAATAACTGTAATATGTCGATATAGCTTTATGAAAAATAACAGTCCAAAAAATCCATACTTTAAAAAAGCAGGCAAATTAAAATAGTACGAACTTAAATATAAAGCGTTGCTTTTACATTCTGAATCTCTATTTCAAATTCTTAATGTTTGTGGATGACAACAGGTTGCTGGCTCTCTCTTTCACTTGTATTTTCTAGAAGTGCACGCTCAGGCCATCTTGCGGCAGTCACAGCTTTGAGTACATCCATTCCCAGTCTGTGATGCCTAACCAACCGGAAGCGCGGATTGATTCCTCCATGGTCAACAAGGGCGGATAGAAAAAAGGGAGAAATCAGACGAGTCCTTATTAAATAATAAGCAATTAAGCATCGACCGGAATTTGTCAATAGGAAGAGGAAAGCGTTCAAATCTTAAACTGAGTGATTCTCCGCTGGAAGAAGGGATTATTCTGAGGAATATGGGATCTACCTTCAGGGTCCTTACCTGCTGGGCACCGTAATGGTGGTGAGTGTTCCCATCTTTTGAGAAGGGTCCCATCATTTTAGATGTTTCTTGTCCGAGGCAATAAGGCTTTTCTGAACTCTTGTGTTGAGCAGTCTGTGGCATCAACATTAATGTTTTATATTCCATTTTTAATATTCCTCCACTAATTGCCCGGGTGATAGATAGATATTAAAAGCCCGTGTTGCTGATATATATGTGTGTGT